ATCTACTAAAATAAGAATCTTGTGATTACTTTACTCAATTCTACATAAATTATGATCTGATTCTGTCTGGTTGGTAGGGACAAATACTAATTTCAGCCCTGTGAAATTGCCAAGCACCATAAACACTCAGCCTCAAGGTTGGTTTCAACCACAAGGTCAGTGGTTCAAACTTACCAGCTCCTTGGAAATCCTATACAGGATCGCTATGAGTTGGAAGCAACTTGACGGCATTTAATGACAACAACAATCTTTCACTGGGTGATTGTTTCCCCAGCCCTGGTTAGTTTTTTAATGCACACAAATTCATTGAAGCCTCTGCAGATCTCTGGGTTTCTCTCCCTGTGAAATTCTCTTATCTTTGGTAACATGAGCTACAAACTCTCCTCAGCTTAGTCTCCTCAGACTCTCAGCTCTGTCTTCACAAATCAGGGAATCCATGGGGTTCTGGCTGCGATCCCACTTCCTGAACTGCTGCATGAAAATTCCCTTAAAGTGATCATCAAGCTTATGCAATCAGAAGGCTGACTTCATTTGCATCTTGTCTTTCCGGTGATTGCTGTCTTTCATTGTTTGATGTCCAGTGTCTTGAAACTTACCATTTCATGTAGTTTTTTTTTTTTTTTTTTAAAGTCTATTGAACGTGGTAGGACTTAGCTCACAGCTTCATTGTTGTTTCTCCCTCACTTCCCCTTCTCAGTGACCAATGTGGTCACCAGCCAGACAATATGCTTGCTCGTGTATTCCCCTTGAGTCTGAGTCTTGGAAGGGGGTTTGCCCTGAGGGGACCCAACCACTTGCCTTGATGTCTCCTGGGCGAGCAACTTGTTTGTTCTTGTAGTTGTCAGTCTGACTGCTGTTATTGTTTTTTATTTTTCCTGTCAGTCTTTCTTTTAAGAAGTATCTTCTATTATTCTAGCTGCTCCATGCTGGTCTGCTTGTCCTTTCAAGTAGAAATTTCCCACCTCAGAAGATTCTGGATGGGGTTCAAGATTCCACCTATGGTATTTTGTTTTTTTTGTTGCTTCAGGTGGATGACAAATGTGTCCCTGCTAATCGGCCGTAAGTATCACCTTCTTTCTCATTTAAGGAGTATTATTAAACAGGGACTCTGGTCCATGTCCTGTGCTGAATCTTTTGCATAATTTTGATGAACTGTAAACTATTATCTTCTCTGTCTAAGCATTTTATAAGTGTAAAGAGATGGAAACTATGTCTTATATCACTTATGGAAAGGATGATACTATAGGGGTTTAGTGAGCAGGTACGAAGAAGAAAAGCAGTTGGGATCACCAAGCAGTAAAAAAGGGGGGCTCGAAGGCTGTGTAGAACTTAGACAAATCCATTGCCGTAGAGTTGATTCCAACTCATAGCGATCCTATAGGACATAGTAGAACTGCTCTGTGGGGTTTCTGAGACTGTAAATCTTTATGGGAGCAGACAGCTTCATCTCTCTTAAATAATGAGGAGCTCAAAGGAGAGAATGTGCTAAGATGCTTAGATATAAACACAGAGAATATACCTTTCTGGAAAATCGGCTCTCTGTGAATCTTTTAAAACTAGAGTAAGCTCCAGCTGCTCTTGTGAATATAATAGACACTGTTTATTCAGACAGGTAGGAACAGATAATAAAGGGACTACATTAAAAAATGCTCAGTTCTCTGCCTACTGAGTCTCCTGAGGACCACATCCAGGGGTAAGAGATAATGGCTCTCTGGGTTTGTGCATGTGATTTGCATATATCCTTTAAATTTACATGAAAGTCTTTTCCCTTCACTAGCCTGCCTTTCCAATGATAGCTGGAATATAGCTTTATTCCTAGCCATTTCCTACTGTTTCACTCATTTTTGGTAACTGAAAAGCTTCCAGTAGAAGCTCAGCTTCTTAATGTAGGTATTAAATCATTCCACTTAGTAACAGATTTTGGACTGGCCATTCATTCTTATGGAGGGAGGTAGGATGGTCAAGTATGCAGGTAAGGAAATGGAGACTCAGAGAGATGAAGTGGTTTTGCTTGGGAACAAAAAGGATTAAGCCTTTTAGATAGTCAGATTGTCTGATAGTCTCTAGTTTGGCTCAGAAATTCCTAGCAAGACTGAGTGTAGCCCGAGATATCAGCAAGGCAAATGGTGGGTCCAATTAGGAGGTTGTAGTAGAGGGTTATGGGGATACTCTGTAGGATTAGCACTGGGCTGTGAACCACAAGATCAGCTGTTCGAGCCCACCAGCTGCTCCATAGGAGAAAGATGAGACTTGCTGCTCCTGCAAAGATTTACAGCCTTGGAAACCCTACTAGGGTCACTATGTGTAGGAACTGACTCGGCAGCAGTTACCAATAACCACAATATATTGGCAGTGCTGGCTCAAAGCCTTTGCCCTAGAAATGATGAAGGGTAATAACAATGGCTGGCATTTACTGAGCACATACTTGTGTACATTGTTGCTCTCAGCACTTTTAACAAATTAAGTTAATTTTATACCCACCCAGGGATGAAGGGATGACTTTTATCCTTACTTTATAGATAAGAAAACTGAGGAGCAGAAATGAAGCTATGTGATCAAGAGCATTTGCCCACCACTATAGTCCTAGTGTGGCACTGTGAGCTAATGCATCAGACTGCAAAATTGTTTGAACTGCAAGGTTAGTGGTTCAAGCTCACCAGCTGCTCTTTGGAAACCCTATACAAGGCTGCTATGGGTTGAAATCGACTCGATGGCACTTAACAACAACAACATTCTTCAACATGGAGTTCTGGTATGGCTCTGTAGGATAAGCACTGTATTGCTAACTGCAAGGTCAGTGATTCAAACTCAGCAATAGCACCTCGGAACCACATACAGGGTTGCAATGAGTTGAAACTGACTCGACAGTGCTTAACACAATAACAACAACGTGTTAGCTTTGGTGAATCCACAAATGCCGTGGTCCTGAGATTAGAAGTTCAGGTTTGAGACTAAGGTGATACAGTGTTGATTCACACTGAAGTGGAGTCACAGATTTCTATCTCATGGCAGACACCATATTAACAACTCAACATACACTAGCTTACAAAGGTAGGCACCATGGGAACCCCATCTTACCTAACTCCACAATAACCAGCTGAAGAAGTTACGTTTTCTCACTTTTCATATAAGAAAACTGAGACTCAGAGAGATTAGTCACTAATTCAACATTCCAACCCTAAAAAGACTGGGAGCTCAGATGGGAATGAAATCCAGCTTTGACAAACTCTAAAGATCAGACTCTTGGCTTATATACTGCCTCTTGGGACAGTGCCATTCCACACACCCTCCAAGCCTAGGAGTTCTCAAGGTAGCTGGTACCCAACAAAGTCCAGTAAATCAAGGCTACCCTCTTGACTTGGTGGAAAAAAGTTCAGGTCTACCGTCAGCCCCATGAAGACTCCAAACAGGAGCCAGCCCTGTAGCCCAGTTCCTGCTCTGAAGATGGGCCTCGACTCGCAAGTGTCAGTTCAGGAATATAGATTTGTTGTTGTTAAGTGTCATGTATCAATTTCAACTAATAGGGTTTCTGAGGGGAGGATGGTAGGTTTGAACCACTGACCTTGTGGTTAATAGTCCAGTGCTTATCCTACAGCACCACACCAGGACACCAGGAATAAAGATTATAGGGTTTAAATTACTGTACCAAGTCTTGATCACAGAGTTAAAAGAAAAGGAGGAAGGAAAGATACAAGAAAGGAAGTAAGTAAGACAGAAATGCAGAAATAAATAAGTTATTTCTTGGGCCCTGGCTTCATTATCTATAAAATGGAATTAATAGCCGAGGGGAGTACTGTCTTGGTGCTGTTGGTTAATACACTGGACTGCAAAGTTGGTTTGGACTGCAAGATTGGCAGTTCAAGCTTACCAGCCACTCCTTGGAAACCCTATATAGGATGGCTATGGGTCAGAACTGACTTGAAGGCACTTAACCACAACAACAACCCATAAATCAGGGAGTCTAGTGGCTCTGAAAGATAAGCACTGGACTGCGAACCACAAGGTCTGTGATTTGGGCCCACCAGCCTCTCTGAGGGAGAAAGATGAGGCTTTCTGCTCCCGTAAAACTTCATAGCCTCAGAAACCCTACACAGGGTTGCTATGAGTCGGAAATGACTTGATGGCACACAACTACCACAATAACAATACATATAAAGTAGGCATTCTGTAACTAGGGTAGAGGGTGAGACTTGCTCCCATTTTTAGAATATTTCAGACCAGTTTTGGGGCATAGATGATTTTAGAGGAGCCTAAAGAGAACCTTTTCTTCACTCACATGTTGTGTGTGGGGGGGTGCTCTGAGTTTGGCAGCCTACTCAGGATCCAGGGATTGAGCATTGCTTGAGGTCTGATGGAGTCTATCTATTGTTCTTCCACCTGCTCCAGAGCTTCCAGTATGAGTTTTGGGTTGCCCTTTTTCTGACTCCTTAGGCTTACCACAAGGGTCAGGCCAATAACTCTGTGGCCCAAAGAGAGTCAGACTTACGTTATGATGATGGGCATCCTGTCCTGCCTGCTTGGATGCCTCCTGACTGTGGAGCTCTGGACACTCTCCAGACCACTTGGTTTAAGCTTAGTTAGGGTTCCTCCCATCCTTCCATCCATCTCGTCTCTTTCCTTCCCTTTTTAACGTAGGCATCTCTGTCTGAACAATGACACCATGTCCTGCCAAGTACCAGTGACCACAGCACATTCTAGTATATGAGTTTATAGATGAGTTGGAGAAATGAGTAGTGGAGATATGTATGAGGAAGAGACAAAGGGAAAAAAAATAAATGGATGGAGAGAAAGCATGAAAATGGGGAAGAGAGGAAGGAAAAAGAAGATATTAGGAGGTTGAAGAAAAGCAGAAAAGGGGTTGAAGAGGAGGAATAAAGGAAGGAGGAAGAGGCAAAAGGAGGAGAGAAAGCTTCCTGAGTTCTTCCTAAGGCCTTCAGCCAGTCCTGTGTATTTGGATATCTATGCCCAAGTCTCACCAAGGGGAGCTTGTAAATAAATACCTCTGGATAGGAGCAGATATCTGTAAACACAGCTGAGGAATTGAAAGTCAGGTTCTTCAAGGGTATCGACTTGTCAAAATCACACCACAGCTGCGGATTAAAACAAAAAAACAAAAAAAACAACAACAACAAAAAACAGAAAACAAAAAACACAGGAACAACAAAGTCAGTGTGATGTTGGTCATGGATCCGTATGCTATCAGCTGGTGGGCTTCAGGACGAGTCTGGGTAGACCCCGCACTATAGGGACACTCGCTTACTTCAGAATGTAAGTACCAGCTTTGAGAGCTTCTTCTAATTCAAAGGAATTGCTGGCTGGGAGAAAGCATTTGGAAGCCAGTGACGACACCAAACTAAGTCTGCTCTGTGGGCCACCTCGCTTAGATAGAGCCAGATGGCAGGAGATAAGGTCTGGGGCAAACACACAGTCTGTCTCAGTTCAGCAGTGAGGGGAGTCCAGGATTCAAGGGATCTGAGAGGACACATTTCTAGAAAGATTCTTAGCATTGGAGTAGTGGGCATCTCTTAGATCAGAAACTGCTGCTGAAGACTGTGGTGCTCAGAAACTAACAGCTAGTCTCAGCCATTTGCCTCCTCTGTGCCAGACACTTTGCATGAAAACAAAAACAAAAAAAACAAAAAAACAAAACAAAAAAAAAAACAACCAACCTCACAAGCACCTTGTGATGCAGCTACTATCGTAATCCCCATTTTACAGACAAAAAAGATGAAACTCTGAGAAGTAAAGTAACTTGTCCAGAGTCACTGAGCTAGCCAGTGGTGGAGCTGAGATTTGAATGCAGGTCTATTTGACTCCAACGTCTGATCTTTCTAAAGCTCTGTGGCATGGTTGGCCCCAAAGGTAACCCTGACCTGGGGTTTATTGCTAAATCCTACACCCCAGAAATGTATGGTTGGTCATCAAGACTCGCGATTCAGGCTGTTGATCAATGATCTTATATACCTCCATGTCAGTTGCCATACCCTATAAAATATCCATTCAGTGATGAGTCTCACTAGAGTGTAATTTTCCCTTTTCTTTGGTCCAGAGCATCCTTCATTCAATGTAAGGCAGTCTAAATCTCCAAGGCTGGGTTAACAATTGTGGGTGTCTGAACACCTGGGGAGCATCTGTCAGCCCCAAATGGCACATTGATGGTTTCAACCACAAGACAACACCTCAACTAACTTCTTTCAAGGTGCCAAGTTCAAAAGCTGGAAGCAGATAAGTCATCCCTAAATTCTAGCTCCCCAAGTCATGGACAATACAGCCTATTGGTAGATCCACAGAATATGTCTATAGCACTACCAAAGTACCATTCAAAGACCAAAGCCATTCAAACATGAATCACCAAATTCAAAGCGGATACACATTGTGGCAGTTGGAATGTCTCTGAGTTCAGTTCTATGTGTCACGCCAACAAAGAACTCTTTGGAAGTCATACTCAAGATGCTCAATCTGCCTGCTATGATCATTGCCTCATCGATTGCATGGGCACAGTAATACCTACCTGTAGAACATAGCAGGTGCCCAACAAATGGAAGTCATTTTATTTCCATTCCCTCCTGTCCCCACTTCCAGAGATAGCCCTTAGCATATAATTGAACATGGGTCATGAAGTCAGACAGACCTTATTTGCAAGTTATTTCATGTCTCTGAGCCTCAGTTTTCTCAGCCATAAAGTGGGGATAATGAGACTTACCTCACGGGGATTATGTGAGGATTAAATATGAAAAGTAGGCAAAGCTCCTTCTTTAGTGCATGGCACATAGCAGGTAGATTACTAAAATACTAACTTTTAATATTTAGGATAATAAGTAATTGGCCACTCAAAGTCCAAGAACTTGAGGTCTTTGAAGTCTCTTTTGGAGTAAACCACCTCTTTCACTGAGAACAAGATGATTTGCCAAGTGTGAAATGCACAATTCTCCCAGTAGCCACATCTTTGTTCTCTGTCCCTAAGCTTGGGACTGGGCCAGGCAACACAGATGACTGGTTCCAAGGAAGGGCAAAGCAAGACACTTCAAATTCTATAAACTCTTGATTTCTGTCTGTGCACTAAGCATCAGAGACTTGGTAGACTTGGAATGCTTACAATATTTAGGATGGCACCCAGGAAATTAATCAAGATGGATGCGAAGATAATGACGTTCCGGGCCAAATAGGTCTCATTAATCCAACAGCAAGTTTTCCGAAGAATGAGAGGCAAACACTTGTAATCCTCTGCCGTGGTGATGAGGATCAGGGCCGAATGCAGCATGATCAGTATAGAAAACTGGATGGCTGTTGGCATCACCCTGTAGGGAAACAGAGAGCTGGGTAACTGGAATCAGTGGTCTGACCCCCACCACTGGGCATGCACCTGTTGGCATCCATAATATTCTCCTCCCCACCCTTTATACCAACAATTCTTTGGAACTTCTCTTGGCTCAAAGGGGTATTGGTGGGAGACTTTTCTTTTTTAACATCCATTCCAAGAATCTGTATTGAGATACTTGCAATGAACATCAAATATTTGGCTTGATTTAGTGTTCCTGTCCAATTTTTACTCTTCTACCATTCACCTTTCTCACTAGGCAATGGTTGTCAAGGAAACAGCACTGGCATTTACTTAATCTCAATAGTCTGGGTGTATGAGGGAGCTACATGCCTCTTCAAGGTGGGTTTTGTGAGGCATCGTCCCTCTCCTCATCTATCTGAAGCCAAGAAATACATTTGATCCCAGGCCTAAGTGGCTCCGTTTGGTTAGGGATTACCAAGATGGGCATGGAATATGTTATGTACCAGATACTGCATGACTCAGTGTGAGACATTTGGAAGGCAGAGAAGGAAGTAAAAGTGATTGCTGTCCACTTATTCATTTCTTGGGTGAACTTCATACTTTATTCAGTTAAATACTCATTCATTTCTTTATTTGATCACATGCTAATTTATTCAATTATCAACCCAACTCAACAATGTCTTCTGAGATCTTTCACCTGTGCCAAGTACCTCAGTAGTCTCTTATTCATTCAATTCTTATTTTAATATTTAATGAAATCTTATGATATGCCAGGCACTTTATCAGATACTGTGAAGTCAGAGGTGAATGTGACAAGATCCCTGGTTTGGAGGAGTGAAAATCAGCTGAGATGGCAGTAGGGATGGAATTACCATAGGATGGGCATAGTAAGAACCAACATTTATCAAATATATAATATAGACACTCTTCTAAGTGCTTTACATTTGTTTGTTCATTTGTGATGGTACTATGGGAAACCATTTTGCAGATGAAAAACTAAATCAGGAGCATTGGTAACCTGCTCAAGGTTATATTGTATAGAATTTAAACTATTTAAATAATAATAATAATAAATTAGTCTGGCCCACTTCCCTGTCTGGCCTCTCTGTCTGGAGGATGGTGTAGTTTATCTGGACTAGGGAGAAGAAAAGAAGGCCAGTAGAAAGGATGGCTAGGAGTCCAGAGGCTGAGAAAGGGTCGCAGTTTTTCCGGTTCAATATTAGGTAGGAATTAAAAAAAAATTAACTAAAGGAAAAATACTTTTTGACTATAGAAGATTTTGATATGTTGCAATTGTACCCATCTTTGAGTTATTCTTGTTTTCTGTTTGACACTTTCTGGCCACTTGATGAACTTTTGCTGCTTCATGAACAGTTTCATTGAAAACTTACTCCCTGTTAATTGTGGAAAACTTGATATTTCTGTATTTATGTAGTTAATTTTCAAACTGTTCTCAAGGTTGTTAGTTTTCTCTTTTTATACTTTTTCAGGCCTCATAACTGTCTAGTTGTTTAGCAAATAATGAGCATGATAATACTTCACTTGAAATGGTATTTCTGACGTAAGCAAAATCAAAGTAAGTCCCTAAATGAAACATCCTTTTGACTTTTTAAGGGGTTGTGGTAGTGTAGTGGTTATGAGTTGGGCTGTTAACCTTAAGGACAGCAGTTCTAAACTATCCGTAGTTCCATGGGGGAAAGATGAGGCTTTCTGCTCCTATAAAGATGTTGTTGTTAAAGTACTGTGGAGTTGATTCCGACCCATAGCGACCCTGTATAGGGTTTCCAAGGAGCAGTGGTGATCTTGAACCACTGATGTTGCAGTTCAAATGACTTTTCTGTCTGATGCATTAGCCCACAGCGCCACACCAGGACTCCTGGGAAATCCTATATGGGGTTGCTATGATTTAGAACCGACTCCACAGCATATAACCAACTAACCAACCAACGATTGAGCCTTTAGGAATTCTATTTGGAGGGTGGATATAAACATGCAGATTCCTGGACATCATTATAGGAGTTTCTGATGCAATAGTTCATGGGCAGGGCCTGGGAATCTGCATTTGAAGCAAGCATTGCAGAAAATTCTGATGCAGGTTGTCTTTTGTCTGCTGTTCACTCTTTAAATAATATTCTCTCCCATAGAAACAAGTGAGTATGGAAGATTCTACACCTTGAACCTGGATCCGATCTCTGCTAAGCCCTCTCTCTTTCTCCTTTGTTGTCAAACCATTAGCCATTTAAGGAGAAAAGAAGTAGAGAAAAGAGCATTGTTCAGTGTTACAAGGGCCATGTTGCTGGGCTGCTGGGCTGTATGTACTGCAGTACCTTGATGTTACGTGACATGGCTTTTCTTTCCAATGTCTTTTGAAGTCCCACCAAGTGATTGGGTGGGATCATGTAAATAAGGTGTACAGGACTCTTAATGCTGGGATTGGTTAGTATTACCATCCTTCTAGGTTTAAAGGATCCATTTCGTAAGGAAGAACAGATGGTCCCAGGACCATCAAGGAGGAAGTGCATGAGTGGAGCGTGTGATCCCTACCTAAAAAAGCAGTGACAGATGATATGACCACAGATGCGGTGGCATGGAGAGACAGAGCAACTTCGGGATCTAGGCCCGTGGACTGAGTGCCTGTGGGCAGATTGTTTTACAGAATGTGCCCGTTGGGCATTCACAGACTATCTAAAAGAGTTTTGTAACATTTGCCCAAGTAGAACAGAGGTCAAGGGGCCACATGGCTGAGAAGCCGAAGACAAGCGTGAGATGTGTCTGTAATATGGCAGATGAGAGGTGTTCCTGATTGGACAACTACTGTGTCCTAAATTGTACTTTGTTCACTTACCTAATAAATCCCATAATCATGAGTATTGTTATAAGTTCTATGTGGCCATTACAATGTTACAATGGACTGTGGAATCCATATATGAAGACTGGAGTGCTGTAAGAGGGATGGTTGGTATCAGTATAAGGTAAAAATATTGTAGGGTAGAGGCATGTCTCACCTCTACTTCATAGGGATCCAGTTGATTTTGAGTTTGATTCCCTTTTCCTCTTGTGAGGCCAGGGGAAATCAGACATGCTTTTTTGCAAATACTTTCACTATTCACTAAGTCTAGGACTTCTTTGGATCTCTCTCTCCTCCCCCCTAATGTTTAATAACCATTTCTTTGGAATCTTCTTTGTGCCAGCACTGTGCTAGGTAATAGGTTACAGCAATGATGGCACCTCACCTGTTCACTGCCTTCTTTGCCAGTTGTTATATAGATGGTGTAAGCCTCAGTTTCAATATCTGTTAAATGGGAATAATCATAGGGTTTAAAACTAAATGGGATAACCTAAGCCTTGTCATACTTCATAATAATTGCTCAGTACATTGCAATTATTATGGTTATTATTTAATGAACTAATCCTTGTCCAAAGGAGCTCTGGTAGCGTAGTGGTTATGAATCAGGCTGCTAACCTCATGGTCAGCAGTTCGAAACTACCAGCTGTTTCGCGGGAGAAAGATGAGGTGTTCTGCTCCCGTAAGGATTTACAGCCTCGGAAACCCTGTGCAGGGTCACTATGAGTCGGAACCAACTCCATGGTATTTAACAACAACAACAATCCTTGTCCAAGTTTCAACATCACTCCACGTTTTACCCCAAAGCTCTGTCTTATGGTGCTTCCCTGTCTATTGGACACCTCTGTAGAGTGTCAAGCTGTTTCCAGCAACTTAGTGTATCTAAAATCCCATCTCTCAGGCATCTTTGTCTGCATCCTTTCCTGATCAAGCAATCCATCAACAGATTTGTTACTTCTCCTTGGGGATTTGTCACCTTTTCTCTGTTTTCTTTCTAGCCATTAGTGGCATATATACTGACATCTCTAGTTTCTTTACCTCTGTTTTGGCCAGCCAACTGCTGCAGGTTAAAGAGTGTTCTGACAGAGTGGTGGGAGATTTTACATCACCTCCTTCCTCTAGAAACTGGATACCTTCCCTCTGGCCTTTAATTCCTTGCACAGGCTAGTGCTCAATAAATATGTTGAGTGAATATATGGTGTTGGAGGAGAATATTGAAAGTGCCATGGACTGCCAAAAGAACCAACAGATCTGTGTTGGAAGAAGTGCAGCCAGAGTGCTTCTTGGAGGCCAGGATGACCAAACTTCATCTTTCGTACTTCGGACATATTGTCAGGAGGGACCAGTAGCTGGAGAAGGATATCATGTTTGGTAAGGTGGAGGAAGACCCCCAGCCAGATGGGTTGGCAAAGTGGCAGCATCAGTGGGCTCAAGCACGGCAACAATATTGAGGTTAGCTCAGGATTGGGCAGTGTTTCATTCTGTTGTGCATACGTTGCCATGAGTCGATACTGACTTGATGGCACCTAACAACAACAACAAATCTTCCCCTATTACTATCCTTTTCCACTTTAAATATGAACTTTCATATTTATTATACAACTCTTTTGTAAATATTCTGCTGGGCTCTATGTGCTACATACTACATTAAGCACTTTATATATAACATCTCATTTTCATGCCCCAAACAAACCTATTTCTGGTGTGGTACTATAACATAAGCACTATACTGCTAACCACAAGGTCAACAGTTGCAGCTTACTAGTTACTTCTCAGAAACACTATACAGGGTCACTATGAATTGGAACCAACTTGACCACAACTAACAACAACAACAAAACAAACTTAGAAGTCTTTGGATCTCTTCTATTTCAGATAAAGATTTAAGGTTCTGAGAGAAACAACTTCTAGGGGTCATTCAGTTGGTAAGTGTTTTGGAGCTCAGAGTGTGCTCCATTCTGTTATACATTATGCTACTTAATCACTGTGGTAAGTGATAACTCTCCCATGCTTTTAGTCATCTTTTCTGCATCTGTGGCTTCATTATCATATTCATTCAGTCAACAGATTTTCATCACAGGCTCAGTGTTAGGTGAAGGTATGCCAAGACCCATGCCACATTTCCATATTTTAGGATAGCATACTCTAGAGCAGGGGTGGGGAATGTCCAG